CGAGTCTGAGAATAAATGGCTGACTGTGGGGTTGCCAGCAGGTTTTTATACCCTTGCACTGCGGGAAATTAGTTATTCCCGTTGGAAGAATAACGGGCACTGCGTCATTTGGACTGGTTCCGTTATTCTTCCACGGGGAATTTGCCGCAGTGCAAGGAGGAATGTCGTAAGAATGTTCGAGGCTGTCCGGGGTTACCATGACCCCGTTGTGCAATTCCGAACCGGTTCATTTTTCACTTTTGGTTTCCATGTATTTACTACGGCGGATGAGCAATTATCGGGCGAAACTCAGGATAAGGCAGAATATTGTTGGCAGTGACAGAAGTGAAAATCAAAATGGAATCTGATAAATTTAAACAAGTAAGAAAGTCTAAGTTCGGGCGGAGCCGAACATTAAATACCCGGCGCAAGTATTAAATATATGTTTTTTCACCCTTCCGAAACCTTCCGCTAGATGGTAAGCCGAGGTGTATCAATTTTGAGTAAATTAGCGTCCTTCAATTTCGAAATATTGAAGTTTCAAGCATTTCTTAAATTTACCGTTATATGAGAATCGGCCGTTATTTTAGTCCGATTTCAATAATTTTCAACGTTTGGCTTACACGTGGCAAGTGCAATAACCATACCGAGTTTGGTACAAATTGGTAGAACGGTTACCGATATACTTATATGTGATCATAAGTGGGCGGTGCCACGCCCATTTTCCAAAATTTTACCATAAACGTATTTCTTGGTAAAGAATTGTTGCAAGCATCAATTTTGAATAAATTAGCTTCAATATTTAATGATTTATCGAAGATTTTGTATTTCTCTAAATTACCGTTATAAGGGATGTGGGCGTGGTTATGGTCCGATTTTAAAAAGTTTCGGCAGTTTTTTATGCTGTACCAAGGCCAACAACTGTGCCAAGTTTGGAAGAAATTGGCGCAGCGGTTACCAAGAAATACACATGTAACCATAAGTGGGCGTGGCTACGCCCATTTTCCAAAAATTTATAATATTCTTATTTTTCGTCTAAAACTTATTATAAATATCAATTTTGAGTGAATAATCTCCAGTAGTTACTAAAATATCGCAGTTTTCGTATTTCTGAAAATTACCGTTACATGGGAAGTAGGCGTGGTTATTGAGCGATTTTAAAAATTTTCGGCCATTTGGTATGTTATGCGAAGGCGAACAACTGTGCCAAGTTTTGAAGAAATTGGTGCAGCGGTTACCAAGATATACACATGTAACCATAAGTGGGCGTGGCTACGCCCATTTTCCAAAAATTTATAATATTCTTATTTTTCGTCTAAAAATTATTGTAAATATCAATTTTGAGTGAATTATCTTCAGTAGTTACTAAAATATCGCAGTTTTCGTATTTCTGGAAATTACCGTTATATGGGAAGTGGGCGTGGTTAAAGTCCGATTTCGCCCATTTTCAATACCAACCTACCTTGGATTAATGGAAACCTACATACCAAATTTCGTTGAGATATCTCAATTTTTGCTCGAGTTATCGTGTACACGGACAGACGGACAGACGGACAGACGGACGGACAGACAGACATGGCTTAATCGATTTCTTTTTTCATCCTGATCATTTATGTATACATTTGTCTATATCTATCTCGATTCGTTTTGGCTGTTACAAACAACCGTTATGTGAACAAAATTAATATACCCTTGTGCACAAGTGCGCTCGGGTATAAAAAGAACGTACGTTACTTGCAAGTTATAAAATAGATGTAAATTTAACAATTTCAGCCAGACACAAAATAGATCTTCTGCACGAGCGTTTGTGTGGTTTTTCACTTGTCGAACTTTCCCTTTCGTTTGGCACAGCCAGATATTATTTATTTGTACACCGTAGCAAATTTTCCCCACCGTCTCACCATGGATAAAAGTTACCGGTTGGCACACATACTATATCGGAATATCGATAATGTTTCCGCCAGAATGTTTTAGTACAAAGGGAAACATAGCTTTCAAATTACCAAGTTATCGGAATAGATGCCAAGATATGTATTGTGCCCCACATTCCAACAGATGCGTCAAGTTATAAATTCCATCCTGTGAAGACGGCAGTTACAGACAGCTGTCACCAACTATCACTAGCCTCCGCTGGTAAACTTTTATTAACCATAAAAAAGTAGGCGAACAGACCTGAGGAACTAGTGACAATTAGCGACACCCGTCCGGAGGGAACACAGCATCGCAAAATGGCAGACATTCCATGAAGTTTTGGTGTTGCCATACGCTCTAGAAAAATTATCAGATGGTGAAATTTATGGCACGCTACCGGGAGCGCTATACGCCGAAGAATAAAGTATTTATTTTTTTGTGCGGCGAACAGTAACCCATAACAGACTTCCACCAAAATATCTAGCAAAAATATTAAGATTTACGTGAGCTGGACCGATTTGAAAATACCTCAAAAAATTTAGTTTTTTTATCAATAAAAAGTTTTTTTTTTAAATATTTTTTGAAAAAATTATGCCAGATGACTAAACAGTTTAAGCGTAAAAAGTTTTTTAAAAAATATTTCAAAAAATTGTTTTACGGAATCATAATAATGAGATTTTTGATGCTGTTTTTAAACTTTTATCAAAGACTGGTTTAAGAAAAACTTGAATAACTAAGCCAAAATTACAAATTTAGACATATGAGGTACCATTGGTAAGGTATTTTCTCACCCTTTTAATTTCTTTGCGAATGAGCTCATTCAAAGTATGAAAGAGGAAGGTAAGATAAACGCGTTTCATTCCATGTTGAATTAAGTTGTGTTGGTATTTGATAAAAAAAGAAGTAAAAAAGGGTGAGAAAATGCCTTCACACTGATACCTCACAAGTCTACATCGGTAAAGTTTTGAAGCAGTTATTCAACTTTTTCTTACACAAAACTTTGAAAAAAGTTGAAAAACATCATCAAAAATCTCATTATTATGATTCCGTTGATACAATTTTTTAATAATTTATGTAGATTTTTTAAGCTTAAACTGTTTTGTCGTCTGAGGGGATTTTTTTCCAAAAAATCATTTAAGAGACTATTTTTATTCATAAAAAACTCCATTTTTAGAGGTATTTTCAAACCGGTCCTGCTCTCGTAAATCTTAATATTTTTCCGAAATATTTTGGAAGAAGTCTTAAAATGTACCAGGTTTGGTAGTCCCGCCACAAAAGCCGCAACTTTTTTTGGTGATGCAGTCTAATGTACAGTAGTCGAAAAAATTATAGCCGCACCAAATTTTCGCAAGTTTAAAAATATCATTTTTGTTGTTATTTAATTCTGGTTATTTTTTTTATAGTTCATTCTTTAACAACATCCGTATAAATACAAGTTTAAAGGCAGTGTCACACGATTGCCGAAATTTGGTGCATATCGTATCCCAATTGTGTGAATACCCAAATATTTTTCTTTATCCCTATCACGGAAATTAATTTGTTGAAATTTTTCAATAGAACATCGCTGTATTGTACCAATATTTTGACTACAAAAAAAAATTCCCATTTTTTTATTTTGTACCAATAGCCGAATATAAAAATGTACAAATGTACCAAGCGAGTGCCACTTCCTTAAAAGTGTCTGCAATTAAAAAAAAAAAATCAACAAATTTTCGTAAACATTTGGATTTTTTTAATTGGATTCCGAGTATGCAGTTTTGTAGCCCATTGAATTCTAGTAGAATAAAGTTTCAAATGGCTAAAAACTACGATTATTTTTTAGAATTTAAAAAAGACCTCGAAATTTGTACGAAAGTTTCTTGAATTTTTTTAATATTGCACAAATTTGGAACCTTTGATTTAGAGGGGTTTTGTTAAAGAATCAACTATATTATTATAAAAAAATAACCAAACCTAAATAACAACGAAAATAATACGTTAAAACTTGGCAAGAAGTGGTTCGGCTATAATTTTTTTACCACTATATGTATTTTTTAATATCTTTAATTAGACATGCACATTGCACATAAAGGAAATACATAACAAGATTAAAATATGTATGCCTTTTTTGTTTGTTTTTTCAAATCTCATTTTGCCTTTTTTCAAGTTTTTAGTTTCTTAAAATCCTACATTTCTACATTTCTGGGGTTCAGAACAACTCTAAAATTTTGTCGGCCATGCGGCATTCCGAATGCGCCTTTCTCGCCGCGGTGGCGCGCCATTTAGGCTTCCCCTGAGGTACCCCGTCCTAGTGGTGGCAAACTATCGATGGCACTATCGATACTATCTATAGTTTTGGTTTTTTTTTCACTATCGATAGTATTGAAAAACCATCAAGTATTTTCACTATCGAACATTTTCCAAAATTGAGACACAAAAATTGTGAATGTGCCTTTTATAAAGCGGCAATACTTTTATATAAAAGAATATATGGCAACTATGTTGGCCTAACGTTTCTTTCATAACGAATATATGTCTATTGTGAGAAACAAAGAACCAGCAATATAACATCATTTTACGTATATATAGTTTCAATTCTTTGCAAGATTTATCAGAAATGGATAATTTTTTGGCAAGCGAAATACGTATATATCTTATCTACATAAATTAGAGCACATTTTAAAATAACCCATTTCATTTAGACAAAAGCAAAACTGTCACATGTTCCTGTTCCTCGGAAGAAGATGATGTGTGTGTGATTGAAGGCACTTCGAAAAGATGCAAATCTTTTTCAATGGTAGGAAATAAAAGATTAATATTTTGACATGGATACTAAATAAAATAAGTTTTGCGAAGGTTTGGAAATACTTTAAGCAATCTGATGACAAAAAATTGGCAAAGTGTCTACAATGCTCTAAAGAATATAAAACTAGCGGAAACACATCCAATTTACGCGATCACTTAAAGCGGATGCACCCAGCATCGGATAGAGACAACACACCCAGTACCAGCTCATCGAATCGCTCCAGTTATAATTCAATCGATTCATATTTTAAAAGAGCTGTGGAATACGATTCGTCATCTAAACGTAAAAAGGACATAGACTCTGCTTTGACGCAGTTAGTGACTGAAAGTTTTCACCCGTTCAATATTGTTAATGACAATGCATTTCGTAAATTCGTAAAGGTGTTGGATACAAGGTACGTTCTTCCAAGCAAAAATACATTGAAAAATATCCATATCACAAATTTGTATGAAAGCCGGAAAGCGATATTGTTTGACATTCTAAGCAACGTCGCAAATGTTGCAATAACAACAGATTGCTGGTCATCAATGAATAATGAAGCCTACATAACAGTCACTTGCCAATTTATTGATGAAGAATATAATTTTCGTCACGCAGTGTTGCCCACAAAAAAACTCAATGATATAACAAATCATACAGCAAGAAACATTGCAGATTCTTTACATGATGTTGTAATGGAATGGTCGATTTTTAATAAAGAGTGCTGTGTTACCACAGATAACGCATCCTCCATGACAAAGGCATGCGAATTGCTAAAATTGCGGCATTTGCCTTGCGTAGCCCACACCTTGAATTTGGTGGTTCAGGACGGGTTGAAAGAGTTTGTGTTGCAATCTCTGATTTCGAAGTGCAAAACAATTGTCACATTTTTCAGAAGCAGCACGACAGCTATGGAGAAGTTCAAATTAGGGCAACGGTCAGAAAGGCCACTAAAACTAAAGCAAGATGTCATAACGAGATGGAACAGTACGTATATTATGATTCAACGGATTCTTCAGACAAGTACTGCAATATCAAGCGTTTTACTATCTACTCCAAAAGCGCCCCCGACTCTTACAGCTGATGAAATACAAGCGTTAGAGGAAATAGAAAAACTACTTCTTCCGTTTCTAACTATAACAGAAAAATGCAGCGGAAATTATGTAACAGTATCTCTTATTATTCCGCTTGTGAACGGATTATATCGCAATATGATGGAGCAAGCGAAAAGTTTGAAAAGTCAACATGGTATCAATCTTTGCTCTAAATTATTGGAGGGAATTAAAAAACGACTCATTATATATGAAACTAGAACACCAACACGAATGGCAACGATTCTAGATCCACGATTTAAAAAAGAAGCTTTCATATCTGAAAATATTGCTAACGAAACATCAAATTTACTTGAAACTGAAATTATGCATTTTATGGGACATTCACACACGCAACCACCTTCCCAACAAGAAGCACCGGAAGGTGAAGATACACTTTTTTCATTTCTACACGAAAGAAATAGAAACAAAAGGTTGTCAAAACGGGCAGATTCAATTTTAATAAAGCGCCAGTACTTGGAGAGGCAAAATGCTGCGCAAAATACAAACCCCCTGGATTACTGGAAGGTATAGTTTTCGTAGTTATTTTAAAAAACAACCTTATTAATTTTTCGTTTTTATATTAAAAGCTGGCAGAAGAAGATTTCTTGCCCTTAAAGGAGTGCGTGCTGAAATATTTATGTATTCCAGCGTCATCAGTAGAATCGGAACGAATGTTCAGTAAAGCAGCTTTAATAGTAAACGAAAAAAGGTCGCAACTAAAACCTAAAAATGTTGACATGCTATGTTTCTTAAATAAAAACAATTGGCTTTAAAAACTAGAATAGGTAAATATGTTAAGTTTTTTGAATAATACTTTCATTACTAAGGTAGGTCCTGATGGTCTTTGAAAAACTATATTTAACGCAATTGAGCGTATTCATAGTAAAAATTAAGTTGGTACTTAAAGCTAGTTGTAGCTTTTTGGCATAATTTTGGATGGGTTATCTGTGAATAAAGTTGCAACCAACTTTATGTACCAACTTAATTTTAACTATGAATACCCCCCAATTAGATTTTTTATCTTTTTCAAAGTAGGTGACTATCGATAGACTATCGATAGTTTAAAAAAAATATCGCCCACTATCGATAGTCTCGACTATTGCAGGCAACACTGCCGCAGCTGGAGCAGCTACTAGGTTCAGAGAAACCGATTGGTTGACCGTTTTAAGGACGGGACAATCTGGAGTTCTAGGGAGATTTCGATTTCATTCCTGGTCGCATAGATTACTGCAAATAATCCCGGGATTTTCGGGATTTGCAATTTGCACTGATGGCAATAATAGACCTTCCTTTCCTTGACCAGTATTGAAAATATTTCTTTTTTTTTATTTAAAAGCTAATATTTTTTTATAAATGTCTAGCTCATTATACATATAACACCGCGCGATAGTAAATTTTAAACACAAATATCAATATATTCGCGAAACCATGGGCCAAATATAGTAAAATTGCGTTTTTAGTTTTTCACTCTGACTTCAGTAATTCAAAAGAGATTTTATAGAATTTAAACAGATTCAAGTTTTTGGCGCAGAGGGACTGGTAAGTGTTGAAAATGTCCTTTGAAAATTGCATCCTTGAAATTTCGCACTATTTGTTTTTGATAGAATTATGTGTTAATGTTGACTTTTATAAACTCAATAACATCCTCGAATTTTGCCTTTATAACTTTTTCAGCTTAAAAAATTACCTACTCGTCCTTGTGAATCCAAAAAATTTTTTTTTTTTTTAATTCTAAAGAAATTTCCTCCTGCATTTGGTATCCATATTTTTATTCTATATTGCACTGAATTTTCTTAATTATTTTTGGAATTAATCATATCTCTGAAATTTCAAAGTCCTTTAAATTAAATCCTGATGTCAGAGGGATAAAAACAAACGCCACTTTAAATAAAAAGGTAGGTTTCAAACCCATTTATTTATTATTTATCTTATGGTAGGAGAGCTTCGCAAAAAAATATAGGAGCATTTTTTCGATTTAAGTTGTTTAAAAGTAATGAATATCTAAAACCGGGATCGTAAAAAGCTGAAAAATTAACAGCCCTAATATAAGTACACTCACTCACCTGCTGTTTTCCTCAGACTGTTTTGATTCGGCAAACTGTTTCATTTTTAATAAAATATTCCTTATTTGCATTGGAAATCTATCGCACAAATATAGTTTTGCCACGCGCTAGAATTTAAAAAAGCTAATCCATACATATAAGGGCTGTTCAGGATATTATGAAAATGGTCATGGATTTGAATTTGTATTTCCATTGCCGAATTTTATGCATTTATTTTTGTGAATTTACAAATGCACCAAAATATGCAAATGCAAGATCCTGAACAACCCTATAATAAAATTGTAGCAATATACATAGATTTTATAGATATTAAGGAAAAACTAATAAGTGGGGATATTTATTAGAGCAACAGAAGCCAAATCAACAATTTTTAAAATTTTTGTCTTTCTGTTTGTTTGTTTGTAGGCGCATCACTCAAAAAATTATGCATGGAATTGAAGTCAGTTTTTAGCGATATATTGGTATATATGTAGGCCTAAACATAGCTAATGGCTCTCGGCAAAAATTGTTTTTCCAACTCCGAAGGCCGTAAACAAAAGAGGACATCCATGATTGAGGGATGGCGAAGGAAAGGAGAGATTAAACAGAAAACCAGTATCTGAATGCATGCCCCCAGTAGTGCAGGTTGAAATTCTGACCAGCGTAATAATTGTATTTAAGTACTTAGATAAAACTTGTCATGAATTTTTGATGACAATATCTGTAATAAATAAACCTAAGCGTATTGTTATATATGTATATCGGTCACTCTATAAAAAATTTACACTACAATATATTTTTGATGCGAAATATATTTTTTTTTACATTCTTCTTCTAAAAAAGACACTTAATTTTTATTTCATCACGATATTCGGAAATCTCGACAAAAAAATTTCGGAAATTTTCAACTTACAACGAAGTATATTTTTTAATTTTTTGCAGTTAATAAACTGTTTGTCGGAGAAAATCAGTTAAGTAATTAAAATGTGCGTAGTTACCTCGGCTTTGCATTAAAGTAAATAAATCCTTTTTTTCATTAAAAGATTTTATTTTTTTTATAACTTTTTTTATTAATTGTTAACTGTTTGACTTTTGTTTTTGATGTGTATACATCTTTGGTTTCGGTAGGGGTAAAATTTGCGAAGCTGTAACGCATATCCCAACACAAAATTTCGAAGGGCTTAGCATGTGTATTTCAGCATACAATTTTTATTTTCATTAGAAGCACCCTGAGTTTGCTTGCCAAATGGTTGCATACAATTAGGTATATGCATAGTAAGAGGAAATGCGCTACAATTGATTATTACTTCCGATTATTTAAACTCCGCACATGCATTTTGATATTCGTAGATGGTGTTAGGCATAGGTTTAGTACTCTATTTTGATAAAAAAACAAGACGAAAATTTAAAAAAATACTGAAATCATTTTTGAACTGGGACCGTTGATAACTGATGCACATACATGAATATATGTATGTATAATATGCATATGTATGGATGATATAATAGCTCTGATCCAATACTTTTCGTGTAAAATCCTGGAAAAAGGTCAAACAGCGAAATCACTCTCTGAAGTGGGAGTAAAAAGTGAGTAACAGCAAAACGTATGGAAAAAGCATCGGGTAAAATCCTGCAACATGAACTGCATTTACATGAACCACAGATTATATTCCGAAAAGAAAAACCAAATTTAGGAATATATACAAATAGAAATGCTCAAACTATGAGCTCAAAAACAATAACTGATGCGGTGTTTCCAAGATATTTTAACGCCCTTGAGTCACAAGTATATTTTAAAAATCATACCGATAATTTCATGTATTAAATGAATTAAAAATGAAAATGAATAAAAAAATTAAATAAGCAAAATGAATAAAATTAAGTGAAATTAATGTTTAATTTCTAACCTATCCTACATTTGTATGTATGTAACTGAATCGCTTAAAGCTTTACATATAAAAAGATTATCCTAATTTTCGAGCTTAACTCCCTAATCTGTTATTAGAAAAAGAGATTAGCCATGCAAAATTATAATTAAAAATATCTCAGATTAAAGCGATAACTTTTTGGTGTCCAACCTAGTTTTATCGATTATACTTGCGAAGAAGAGGAGGAGTGTCAAAGGTTAAAGTAAACAAAAATTGACGCTAGTAAGGAAAATAGGTTTGTAAAGGTATTTTTAATAAAATATTCAGTTAAAGGTTATTTAAATGGCATAATATGTGCTGCAGAAAAAAGTGACCACGGTGGCACAGAAAAGAAGTTTAACTTTTCCTCGAGTTGTGTGAATAACAAGCACAACCAATATGACAGCTAACGAGCTTTGATTGGGATTATATTTATATGTAAACGTACTTTTATGCTTTGCCGTTCGCATTTGCTTACACATCAAATTTCATGAGTATCTAGACTCACGCCTTTTTTTTTGTAACAGAACAGGCTTTAATACAAATGCAAAAATTTGGCACATAACCTGTTTTAATTTTAATTTTTCTTCTGTTAAAGTTAGATTTTTTTCGTTCTTTCATTAAAAAATTAAAAATAACTGGAATAATTAATTAGTTTTTCAGAAACTATCAGTCCTATCGGAAAGTGATGTACATATGGTTTATGGAGAATTTCATTAGCTTTCGTTTGCCGTATCTTATATTAAGATTTTTAAATTTGTTCGTAAGATATACATGATTAAAAGGAACCAATTTTTGCTTTAAGCTGAATAACGGTCAATTGCAAATATCTCGAAAACGTATGCATAGAAAAAAAATTAACCCGATTTTCGGAATCACCGAGCAACTCTACATAGAAATTGGATAGTGGCGTCTGGAGAACAAAAACCAAACTAAAATTTGTGATCCAGTGTTATTATTTAAATTGTGTTTTTGTAGTTATGGTTTTTGTGACCTTTTCAAGTAAAATCAAACTCCAAAAAATTTTATTTACTTGAAATACGATAAAAAAAAGACTAAAATAAATAATATAAAAAAAAACTTTTTAATATACAACGCTTTTAT